AACATTCATAATTCGTTTGTACAAATAACACATATTTTATATCATATATAGTAATGTTATCAACGTAATGCTAAAATTGTATACAAATATTCCAAATCGTTTAGTAAGGTTTCCATAAAACAAATGTGTTACGATAGACAGTTACATAATAATTACGAAAATATACAGAACCAGTCTCCAAATCTCTCCATGACCTCCAAGATTTAAAAGGATTTCGGGTATTATAGAGAGGTTGTATATCCGAACCTAAAATTTGTTTTAAAATAGACACGTTCTGTTCTGCTTTTTCTTCCGATGTGGTAGTTAAAATTAACGGACAGTGTCTAATCCGTGATAAAAATATGCTCCGCGAACATGTCCACTCATTACTAAAATCTGCTTGAAATTCTATAATTACATCTGGTCTTTTAAAGGACGGACCGGCTACATACATATGGTAAAATTTATTATAAATTTCAACATGAAGCACTGTATTCCTGTCCTTGCAGTAATGACAAAGTTCTATGTCAAAATGATCCTGCTCAAAATTTGGTCCTACTAGTACAATTGTTAGTTCTCTTATGTGCTGTAAGAGATGTAAAAGGATTTCCCAAGCATTTAAATATTCTCTTTCTAAGGCATTTAGTGCTATCATGTGCATAACATATTTAATTTGTTGAAATGGGTGCAGTGGATATAAACCAGCATTCTTCATTCCATAATTGAATGTTAACGGTCCTGATACATAATCACAGTAGAAATATTTAGAATATATTCCAGGTGCATTTGAGCTTTCTATGGCAGGACTCACATATGTTGTAAAAAATGTATTCATGTCATAAAATGGTTCTTTTCGAAGAATAATTTCAGTGAATTTTAACACAGGGAATTCGCATGAAAGAGCCCAGATATTAATGTTGATATACAATATAAACTGTTGGCATTTTGGCTCGTGCAAACCTTGAAATACCTGTATATGTTCACTGCAATAATAGTCCGAATAACACCTCTTGCAATATTCCAAATTAATCTGTCTATGACAAATAGAGCACGATTTTGCAAAAAGAATCATCTGTTCTTCATACGGCTTTAGCTTACGTGAAATCCATTTTTTAATTGAGCTTAGAAATTGTTGTCTTAACAGGATCCAATTAGTTAAACTTAAAGCACAGTCTCGGCGTATTTCATTCTGTCGTAAAAATCGGTTTATATATCCACAAATCTGCATATGTTGTGGACGATTCAACAATCTGTGTTCAGGAGTGCAATAAGAGATCATATCGCACATATTACATGATATAAAAGATCCATTGTTTAGTTTTTTGCAGACATGGCAAATGTTTTCGTGAAAGAAGCTATTATACTTATTAATATGTAGATGGAATGTGTTCACATCAATTACTTTAGAAAAATAACTCATGGTGGAATATTTTGTTTGACGTATAATATCAATTTAAAAATT